AATGTATTTAAATCAGATTAATTTGTGATCACATAACAGTGATGTTGATGAAGAATTGTCTGGATCAAGAAAAGGTTTCTCATTTAAAGTAATTAAACCATTCTGAATTGTTATGGTTTCAAACATTTAAAAATTAAAATTAATTTAACCTCAAGCCCGCTCATTTGCTATTGATTTTCAAGCAAATATGTGATACACAGCTAATGTTGGGCAAATAAGCTATGGCAGTGTGTCTGTCTACTAATAACTTCCTAAAGAACAAATGTTGCTTTACATGCTATTGAAAATGTCCCACCTCCCACTTCTCAAGTCATATTTTAGTCATGATAAATTACTTTGTTCAAGTACTTTAAACTGTGTAGTAATATCCAAATATGCATATACTGTATATATATATATATATATATATATATATATATATATAGAGAGAGAGAGAGAGAGAGAGAGAGAGAGAGAGAGAGAGTAATATCACACGAGTAGCAATGCGATATGGCTGTATATCGGCACTAGTGGGAGGTATGCGTTGGATTGAAGATGCATGTCTAGTGCCTTAGTGTCCCACCACCAGTGACGATAAACAGCCATATAGCACTGCTACAAGTTTGGTATTACATTCATACAACAGTTCGACGGCATAATCATGTATATAAAAATAAATAAATCAAACACGGAACCCTTTTGTAAGAGGAACTACTTTCTTCCGCCATTCATACACATCTGCAGCTGATGTCAGAACAGTAGAAGCCGTTACTAATTCACCTATGTCACTTTAGAGCTAGTGTTTGAATTATTCTCTATTGTTATATCTAAAGTGATGACAAAACGTGATTTTGCTGACATTTTAAGATTATAAGGCTGAACGCCATTAAATGCCACAAGTCAGAGAACCGTTTTTGCTCGCCTCAGTGTGACAAGCTGATGGCCGCCAACGCACTAAATCTTTAAATATTTAAAATAGGCCCTATTCTTATAAATAAACTGCATAGTTGCAATCTAAACAACTACATTCTTGCATCTATCTATCTATCTATCTATCTATCTATCTATCTATCTATCTATCTATCTATCTATCTATCTATCTATCTATCTATCTATCTATCTATCTATCTATCTATCTAATATTTTTATTATGTACACTGATGAGCTGGAACATTCTTATCAGTTACTAGTAAAGTCAATAATCTTTATCATCTCCTAAAAAGTCCACATAATAAGGTTGGGTCGATTAGATGTAAGCAAACAAACCATTCTCATAATCAACATGTCTAAAGTAGGAGAAATTGGTAGGAATAAATATTTGAGTACATTTGTTATGAAATATTGGTCTCAATGGAACAACAAAACTTGTTACTTGTTCTTGTTAGCTGAAACTGGAAACCTGTTCTTTATGGTTGGATGTAGTGAGAACTTGTTAAATGTAATCAAAAGAGCAGCAAACTACACACTGGCGATGTGGTCTAGGGTGCAAGGCTTATCAAAGCTATTAAAAGATCCATATCAGGGGTGTCCAAACTTGGTCCTGCGGGTCGGTGTCCTGCAGATTTTAGCTCCAACTTGCCTCAACACACACCTGCAAGGATGTTCCTAGAATGCCCAATATCTTGATTAGCCAGCCCAGGTGTGTCTGATTGTGGTTGGAACTAAACTTCGCAGGACACTGGCCCTCCAGGAATGAGTTTGGGCACCCCTCTATACTGCTGCACAGTTTTATTATTATCAATTTTCATTTACATTTTATTGAGTTGCTTTACTGCAGATCGATCAGAGTGGGTCCTATGATATTCTGTCAGCCAGTGCAAGATCAACAGCGTATTAAGCAGGTAGACAAAATGTTCTGGCTCAATGGTGTATGTAAATATGCAAGAGCTTAATAAGCATCATGAGTTATTCTGAAGCACAGTACAAAAACGAAGAAGAATGCTGATTACAATTAGAGATCACTTCAGATTCAGATTTTCAGTTTTGACTGTTGCAACTATCATAGGTTTTGTTGTTTACATACTTCATAATACAAGTACATATATTACTTTTTAAAATTCTTTGTTTGTTGTTTCCCAGAAAATGAAGTTAGCTAGCATAGTATAGCCACTAAAGGCCCTTTAAGTTTTGATCAATAAACATTAAAGATTGTTGTTTCCGAACGATAGATATTTAAAACAGCATCTACCATAAAATGAGCTATACTGTAAATTAAAAGTCTCCCAATACATCTCTTAATCCGACATTAACAAGGCATTAAACTAAACATTTGAAGGGTGCCTATTGTCTTGGATGTCTTCAATTCCTAAACTAAAAGGTAGACCTAATAAGGAATCTACCAAACTGTGAAATAATTGTGGGTAACACTTTGCAAAAACAGCACATGAATAATGATGTATCAATATGTAAACTAAACATTACTTTATTATGAATTAATGATAGGCCCAGACAGAATCTGCTAAAAAACAATTCTGCTAAAAATTTTGTAAAAAAAAAAAAAAAATCTGTGGATTTATGTGGAATGATTTTAGAAGTATCATAACTAAAACCTAATATATGAAATAAAAAATATCTATTTTTACTTTTATTTAAAGTTTACAATGCAAATTTAATTAGATCCACTTTTTTGGTAAACAAAACAAGTCTATCAGATAATATATCTTCTAAAAGACAAAAAATATTACTTTACAATCTGTATTATAAATAAATTATATGAACATGTTAATATTACTATTATTATATCACAATAATATTAGTGAAATTAATTTAAAAACCAAATAAATAAAAATGTACATATTTACACAAGTAAATTAGTAGACTCAATGATGGGCTAAAAATCTGCGTAATTCTGTGCACGCAGATTTCGTGTGTGCCTAACAATGAGTTAAGGCTTGCGCTAATAAGCCTGATTTCACGAGGAAACGCAAGTATTTTATGTTCTGTCAGTTTAGTGGCTAAATCGTATAAGTTCAGTCGTACGAAAATGTACAATTTTAAAAAGGAGGCGTTGCAACCAACCCCACCCCTAACCCTAACTGTCATTGGGTGATGAGCAAATCGTACAAAATGGTACGAATTAGATTGTACGAATTCATACGAATTAGCCACTTAATCAAAAAGTTACTAATTGCTGTGAGTCACAGAAGTTCATGTGTAAATAATGGCTACCTTAATTACTTGTTAGTTCATGATTGTTAATTATGTATTAATTAACATTTAAATTTAAGCTAAATGTAACCAACATGAACTTATGAGCAGTTATTGTATAATTACGTCAGGAGTTTACTTGCAGGGGCACATCACCGTTAGCTCATGCTTATGAACTCCTGTTTAAACTGTTGATGTTGACAGCACACATTTTATTGTTATTCAGTGTAAATGCACTAGACGGATGTGCATGAGGAGTTCATGAATAGAAAGAGTTAAAGGTTCACAAATCTCTCAAGTACTTTTTTAAAGATTTTAACAGATTTGTGTGTGTTGAGCATCAGTTAAGACAATGTTAGCACCTGTTAGCTTTAATTGTGGGGGAAACTGGATTATTTTGAGCTTTTGTCAGCTAATTTCAGCTTCCGGGTTTAAAATCATTTTTGGGACGGGATCAAAATCGGCGACGTCGAGCAAAACTGCAAGTGCAAAGATGACGCGTCGGTTTTTCATTATTATTGTTCAAAGTGGAGTTTTCTTATATGAGAAGAGCCTTCTTAATTATTCATGACTGCACATGCTTTCTGAAGGCAAGGCAGACCTGCCAGTGCCAAGCTGTGAGACATGGACCCACGGAACACAGTACTTAGCAGTACATGAAGGGTCGTATGTGTTTGTTTCCGTGATCCACAGGGTTTGTTGCATGTTTTCCCCGCGATGCTGTCAGGGCCGATACAGCAAAGCTGTTTGTGTGCAGCAAGCATTTTTGTCAGGAGAGCAGTACGAGAATTGGAGAATGGCGGACGTTGTCTTTTATCAGGAGTTCGTTCACACATAGACACATCGTCGTGCTGCTGTGTTCACCTAAATCCTCTAGATTACCAACAGGGCTAATGGTTAGGGCGAGAGACCTGCTGCACTGAGTCTGAATTCAGGCTTACGATTCAGATCCAGGGATTGAGGGAAAAGTCCTCATTTATAGTGTTTATATGAACACGATTATCTTTATAATGATAGAAATTGTGGTTATCTGTATATGAAATTACGAATAACAAATGTATTTATATTTTTATGTTTATTTCTTTGCATTTTAACTTTGTAAACTATAAACTCATGCACCTCCCCACGGTTTGCGTCTCATTTTGTGAGCTAATTGACAACAGCTGTTCGCTCTCCTCCTTCTTCCCTGCTGGCCACGCCCACTCCTGCTCTTTGCTCGCAGAGCTCCACGCCCATTATGATGCACCTTTTGAAAAAAAGTGTGGGGTGTCATGACCCTTTATTAATGGGTTAATGATAATGTGCCCCTCCCAGTAAAGTCAATATGTAATTATACAATAACATATCATGAGTTTGTGATGATTAAATTAAGCATAAACTAATGTGGTAATTAATACATTAATTAACAATCATGTACTAACAGGTAATTAAGGTAGCCGTTATTCACAAATGAACTCATGTGACTCGTAGTTAAAGTTAGTTCATGATTGCATGCATTAACTCAGTAGTTCTAGTTCATAATAAAGTAATGTTTACATATTAACACATCATTCATGTTTGTAAAATGTTACCTAATTGGGTTATAAATGTAGATTCAGTTGATCTTTTTTACCCATATTGTACATCACTTTAGGCAGCACTTAATGTTGATTGTGATGAACACTCAACATGTTGAAACATTAATGCAGTTTCATAAAAGCAACAGGAAACATTTTCTCATATCTTTTACTATCTCTTCATCCACCTCTCCCTCTCTCACTCTCTCTCTCTCTCTCTCTCTCTCTCTCTCTCTCTCTCTCTCTCTCTGCGTATTTAACTACTTTGCCATGTTCTTGAACACACCCACTTAATGTGTGAGTGAAGACATCTGCACACTGCTGTGTTATTGATTCAGTTGAGCACAGAAGTACACAGACGTCTGCCTCTCCACATCTGCACACATCGCTCTCAGATATGGTGCTTCACCACAAAGAGTTTGAGAAGGCTGGCAAGTACTCCGGTCTCCAAATATGGAGAATCGAAAAGATGGAAATAGTACCCGTGCCTGAAAGCTTTTATGGGAGCTTTTATACAGGTGATGCCTACCTGGTGCTGCACACTGTTAAACAGAAAGACTCGAGCTTCTACGATCTGCATTTCTGGCTTGGTAAGTGGAATCTTTTCTAATTAAACACAATGTTGCATTGTATTATGTTATTTCTGCAATATTATATTATATTATAATATATTATATTATGTTATATTATATTATATTATATTAAATTATATTATATTATATTATATTATATTATATTATATTATATTATATTATATCAAATTATATTATATCAAATTATATTATATCAAATTGTATTATATTATATCAAATTATATTATATTATATTATATTATATTATGTTATGTTATGTTATATTATATTATATTATATTATATTATATTATATTATATTATATTATATTATATTATATTATATTATATTATGTTGTATTATATGCCTACTCTTTATATTTTGTAATAACTTTCTCTCAGGTTTAATAATCTTTACTGAAGTGCATGTGACTGCAATTAAACAGTAAAGAGTGACTAATCTCAGTATCTTGACTAATCTAGTGCTTGAAATGTTCAAGAGGATATCTGTATGCACAACCTGCATTCACAAACATGCTCAAATGAAGATTCCAATGTAAAAAAAAAAAAAAGAAACTGGGAAATCTCAGTCGCTATTTCTAAAGCTGAGAAAAACATGGACAATCTAGCTGACACAACGCTCAAATGCTCACATTATAAACACCAATAAAGCAGAAGCAGAGTGTATGACCCCAATAAAATGACGCTGTAGTAATACAAAGGTTAGCAAGTGTGTTCTCAGAAGCAGGTCATTTGATGTTATTACTCGACTTTCATTGATAGATTTTCTCTTTATGCTTTAATTTCTAAATTTCTAAAACAAAAAATATATATATATATGTCTTATATTTTTCTGTTTAATAAGAGTGGCCTAATGTCCTATTAATAATATACAGTCGAAAAATAAAGAAAATGTCTAATTTAAAGAATATATGTATTTTAAATGTGTTAATTGTTATGTCTAGTTTTAAACTGCTTATTAATAATTCAAATCATGTGACTCAACATAAAGGAAAATGGAACAGGATATCACAGCTACTGTAAATCCTGCAGAGCATCATATCAAAGTGACAAACATAAGGTTTAAATAGATCTTTAATTTAACCTTTTCATGACACTTTGCAACTTCCCAAAAATCTAATATTTAATTCATGATATTTTTTTGTGGTGAAGCCTCAGGCACAAAAATACCTGCCCTAGTGGCTTCAAAAAGCGGACATAATCATTAAAAAAAAAAAACTTCTGTGGTCAAGCTAAAAAAAAAAAAAAGAGCATAAAACTGATATATATTAATATAATAGATATATTTATACATATATAAACATCTAATATTTTGACTATAAAACCTATTTGAATGCATATGTTTAAACTATATTAAAAATATTTTCTATTAGGGTAATGTTTAAAAAAGTGCATCCTGGAAGAATTTTTAAATATTTTAATATTTAATAAACTGAAATAATCTTACATGACCTTTGTATTATTGTTGTCATTAGTATGTTTTTATTTTGTAGGAAACTGTTATGTTTGTAAATTATGTATTAAATAGTATTTACCAATAAATAGATAAAATGACATGAAATAATACATTTAAACAATCAAAAAAAAAATACATCAATATATTTTTAAATGAATAGTTCAGCCACAATGAAAATCTGTCATCAGTTACTCAACCTTCTCTTGTTCAAAATCTGTCAGAGTTTCTTTGTTTTTATATTTTCCCAATATAAACATTCGGATATGCCATGAGTCCAAAATGAGATGTTTGACATATTCTCAACTAAAAAATGAAGAGAGGGTGGGACATAGTGTACCTCCTCCAGCCAATAGCATTTTGTTCTATAACAGCTCTGCAAGTGAGAATGGTTGAGCTCAAGTGCATCAAATGAAAAGCAGTGCTTAATTTGTAAATGGATCTTTTCCAGAACAAAACCAGGAAATAAAAGTTATTTCAGTTTTCCTAAAACTTGACATTACTAATCGATTACATTTTTTTACCCAAATTTCTGAACAGTCTTTGATTATTTTGTGCAAGATAACGTTATGGGTCAACATTGGGTAAAAAAAACATACAAACAAACAAACAAACATGTGGTTGCAAACATAAATCGTATAAAACATCAATATCCAGTTTACTAACACCACTGACATGCACTTCACTATTATGTGCCAAGCGAAAATTACTCAGTCTAATCTTCAAGAAGAGCCCACAGTTACCTCTTCCGTCATGTTTTCTAGCTGACTTTGCTTCTGTCTGTCCTGATGCATTTGCTCAGTTTCAACTTCTCAAGATCTCTTTTTGATAAGGCTTATTATCAGATTTACTGTTGGTTTATATAAAAAGATCATATGCTTGACTGCCTCTGGCATTTTGAAAATACAAATATTATTTATGTAGGCCATGTCATTATTTATTTTCACTGCTTACTGCATGTTGAACAATAATTACCGACCAATGTAAGTGATTGTAAACGTAAGAAAGCTGATTGGTCGAAAGTGCCTATCTTTATGTGTGTGCACGCACATAATCCACACCGCTTTGCTCGCTGTTTTTCACCCGGACTCATTCAAAATCTCTTTCTTATACACACGCACACATGCAGGTATTCACAAAGCAAAAGGTAATGCCGGATCAGTTCAAATAAAGACTGGAACGCAAAACACAAATATCTGACATTTCCCGGAACAGGATTTGGCAAGATCCGACTTAAATTAAGCACTGATGAAAAGCAAATGAGAAGCTTTTAAAGGGGGCGGGGCATGTCAAATACTAGCGAGCATTTGATTGGTTATGATTTGACAAGCATCTTAAAGTATGAGATGATGTAAATAACATTGATCCATTTAGGCAGAAGTGGCAAAGCTTTACATGTTTACATCAGTTTTATATCTTCTAAACGCACATTTTGTCACTGTTTTGAGCACACTAGCTTAAAGATATACTAAAATCTAGCAATACTGATACTAACATCTAAAAAACTTTATTTTAATTTCATGGAACCTTAAAAAGTGTTGATAACCGAACAGTTGATGGTAGCCACTGACTTCCGTAGAGTTTTATTTTTAATAAACATCGATGGCTAATGCCAGTTTTCTTGTAAAAAATTTACAAGCCATTTAGTTGCCAGAAAACACGTGTACAGACACGGTTTTTTACAGTTTCCTTCCTCTACTTAAAGTGCTTTCTTTCCATTAGATGTTTCAGCTATGTCAATATCACTGGCCTTGAGTGTACAGTGGCCATAACCACACACATACACACACTCCATTATGAATCATTAACGACTTCCAGTCTAAATGAATTCTCTTGATGTCTTTACCCATCGTGTCTTTGTTGTCAAGTCATTTACTCTGCCTAAAATCGTTGGCGTCTCACAGAACAGCATTTCACCTCCAACAACACATCTGTGGTCACAGGCTTCAGCTAGTGCAGCAAACTGTAAAACGGATGCTGGCTGAAAGAACAAACACTTTGGGTCTCAGATGTTAAGTGTGAAAAAGTTTCTGGTTAAGAAAAGTTAGCTTGTGCCACTGAAGAGCTGAACGTGTACGAGAGTAGAAGATAAACAACCAGTGAATGATAAAATAGTGAAGGGAATATAGAAATCAACGACTTATACTGAATTGTATATCGCCACTGTTACAACTACCTGACAAAAGTCTTGTTGTCGATCCCAGTTATAAGAGCAACAAATAATAGCTTGACGTCTAGTTGATCATTTGGACCCAAGATTCTAACAGAAATCAGTCAAGTTTGGTGAAATATTTGTAATTCTTTAAATTATATTTCAATATAGCTTAGGCTATTTTAACTAGATATGACACTATATTGTTTAAAGTCTATGAACGTGGGCACGTAACTAGTTAAGTTTTATGTCTTTCTGTTGTATTTATAATGTGTATTATCTCCAAAATAAATAAAGAAAAAAGCCGCTCGCGGCATAGCAGAGCTGTGAAGGAGCGCTCTTGCCCGGTCTCACACACACATACAGGCATCTAAACGTGCACAAACAAACATTTTAAACTTGACAAAAACTCTCGAAAACTTTTACTGTCTGCTGTGTCTTTAATATGGTGTAAAGATTATTATGCGTTATTGAAACATAAAGGAGGACGCAGCAAAAAACGTCACTATAAATTAAAACTACTTTATTATTTTATGCAACAGCCTTACATTTAAAAGGGAAACATAAGGGTGATCATACGCAAAAAGACCCCAGACTATAAGGCTAGATGTTTTCTTTCCCTTATTTATTTATTTATTTGTTTGGCGCATGTACTCATGTGCGATCAGAAAACTGCCCGCCTCTCCTTTCACTCCGCCCCGAAGCCCCAGCTGGCCCTCTTTGGCCCAAGGTATTCGGCGGGCCGAAAAAGGCCGGCCGCTGGCCCCAAGAAAGCCCCGCTTTGGCCCGATTAGGCCCCGGAAGTGACAGTGGAAACGCCACTGGCCTTGGCTCGCCCTGGCTTGCTCGCTTTAGGCGCGATAGTGGAAACGCGGCTAATGTAAAATAAAAATGTGGAAAGGGTCTAAATCTTCTTTGGTTGGCCGCTTTTGACAATTGCCATGCTAGACCTCATCTTTAAACATGACATGTTATTGAAGTGTGCTAGCCAGATTGAATTTAAAGGGGACCTATTATGCAAAAATCACTTTTATAAGAGGTTTAAACACAGCTGTGCGGCAGCAGTGTGTGAATACATCCAGCATCTAATGGTAAAAATTTATTATATTTTTATAATCATACTTCATAAAAACAGTTTGCAGAAATACTATTGGCATTCTCCCTTTGTACATGTCATCAGAGCGGGAACGCCCCACCTATTAGTGATGATCTCTCCTGCATTAATATAAACAGCCCTGAGTGTGAAGCAGCCGTCCATCTTTCAATCAACCAAAATGCATCTTTCTCAAAAGGGCAAATATTCTTTCTCTGTCTAGGTAAGGAATGTTCTCAAGATGAAAGTACAGCAGCAGCCATCTTTTCAACTCAAATGGATGACTACCTGGGAGGTAAACCAGTTCAGTATCGTGAAATCCAGGGTTTTGAGTCCACCGTCTTCACCAGCTACTTCAAAGGCGGGATAAAGTATAAGGTTTGAGATGTTTTATATTACTTCTACTAATGCTGAAACAAAGGCTTTCTGAAATCCAGAATGTAAAGCCTGAAGTAAATATGGCTGCATTTCTTCTACCAAAACAAACGCTACTGGGCATTTCTTTTTGCACTTACATATGACCTCCATATGGACGGCTTTCCTGCTGTTACCAGTTTGTCCAGTAGCTCTCCCTGTATGTCAGAGCATTTGAGATGCAGAGAGGAATTGACCACGATGACGGGGTTCGAATCCGGCAAAGAATGGTTGTAAAAAGCCAAAAAAATAAATAAATAAATGACACAAACAAGTAAATTACAGGGTGAGGATGTGGTAAAATCTTAAATTGTGGAAAAATCAAGCAAGGGCTTTTCTTTTTCTGCATTGCTTTTTAAAACTGTCAGTTGGGTTTAAAGAAGTGAGTGGGCGGGTCGATTGGTGCTTTTGAAAACACTATAGGGTATATGTGAAGCTAGTGTTTCTTCGCTTACTAATAAACTTCCGGTGAACGGTTAATGTGACTTTTTCCATTTTATACAGTTCCTTTTACAGCATTGATGTTGTAATGTAACTAAAATACAATCGGTTAAATAGACTTTGGCATTCATTTAGTTGCTTAAGCATGAAGCGAGACAAAAAGCCTTTTACTCGCACACGCCCGTCAGAATCGGCAGGCTAGCGCAGAAGCTCCATTGAACAGTGGCGCCCCCAGAAAATTTTCTTAGGGGAGGCCAGAAGAGGCACACTAAAAAAATAATGAATTCAGTGTAATGTTATATTTTTGTTTTTGGTAAAAGAAATAATGTAGTTTTTATTCATTTAATTAATTTTTTTTTAAATATTGCAATTTATTCCTTGAAATAATTCAGGAAGTACATGGTCAAACCAAATAAAAATCTATGTTTAGTTTAAAAACACTTTTATATATATATACTGTACAAATAACTCTTTTTTTTACGTGCTTTTATTGTACATCATACGGTATATGCCAAGTCTAAAATTAATGAAGATTAATGAGTTTATTATTCCCAGAGATGGGTTGCAGCTGGAAGGGCATCCGCTGTGTAAAAATGTGCTAGATAAGTTGGCGGTTCATTCCACTGTGGTGACCCTGGATTAATAAAGGGACTAAGCCGAAAAGAAACTGAAAGAATAATGAGTTTATTAATAACCCAAACACATGAACAAACTGAACAATAGGCATTTCTATATACACACTCACTATACCAAATAATATCATTTATCCATATTGCTTTTTGAGCCAATTTATTAATGCAGCTTCTTCTATTGATATACTGTACCTTAAGGTAAATATTAAATTGTCTTTGCTGTCTATTGAAGGTGTGTGCGTGCTGTCAACGACGATCGGGGAGGGTAGTGGCGGTTCTTGTTTAAATGACACCCTGGGCAAACCACCCTATACACCCCCACCTCCCTTGAATTGTTAGATTTGTTATTTAATAAGCATAACAATTTATTTATATTTATTCTAAAAAATACAAAATAATATTAATATTATTAAACAATTATTATTCTAAATAAATAACAGAAATCAATCCCAAATATTACTGGAAAACAACAACTGGAGTGATATGCCAAGATCATTTAAGAAACATTTTGCATGAAATTTAATTATGACAATTCTAAAGAATTATCTGTGGTCTTAGACCAGATCATGGCTGAGAAATCATGTTATGAAGTCTTACCTCCCTGACTCATTATCCATCCTTTCTGCTTTAAAGCCATGCTTAGTGAAAGTAACATCATCATCATCATCATCATCATAATCATTATATTATATAAACTTTAGTTGACTTTCAAAACTCGCTGTGTGCCGACACCTCTGCACAAAAGGCTGTTACTCCGGTTTCACAGCACATGAGCGGCACCTATTTTATTGGCGTGCATGGAAACAACCAACCGGGATTCACACAGGAGTGCGTGAGGCACGTGGGAATGGTTTTCTGCTCGCATGCGTCAGTTTGCTTTCACCAGCATTGAACCAGAGGGGGAGAGCTACGTCAGTAACACCAACAATAATTTAGTGGCTGCATTTTATTTATTTATTTATTTAAATATTGGGAATTTATAAGTACATTTAAATCAATAATGTCAACAGCAAAATTATATTGGGGTGGCCAGGGGTGGCCAGAGTTTACCGTGGTGTGGCCGTGGCCACCCCTGGCCACCCCTTGGGGGCGCCCCTGCCATTGAATATACTGGTTTAAAATAAATTTTCATATTTTAATGACATGGCGGGGAAAAATGTAATTTAATGCTGTGTTTCTTGTACATTCGGAGACCCACTTTATATCAGATATCACTCAGCCAATGAAGATTGTGGATTTTTTAAAGAAAACAGACCTTAAACGTGCCGATTTTGCAATGGCATACAGTTCACTGGAATCACTTAACCCAGGTTACTGACACATGAAAAGTCCTTTAGCATACTTATATACCCTATTGGTTGAGTTTAGAAAGGAAGAGGGTGGGTCAGTCGATCAGTCCGTAAGTCAACAGCGACCTCTGGTGGATTTATAGGAAAAGAGCAGGCGCGAATGGCACTCGCGAGAGAAATTTATGATCTCAAAAAGCATGCACAGCGGCCTCTGATGGATTCGCGAAAAGAAAAACTGAAACCTCCAAGGATATATTTAGTGCTCTCCAGAAATGTATATAGTGGTAAAATTTTTTTGAATGAGTCTGGGGTGGACATATTATATGAAGTCTGCAAAAAAAACTTATCCAGCATATGTTTTACGCAGCGGATGCCCTTCCAGCTGCAACCACATACACAATCATACACTTTGGACAATTTAGCCTACCCATTTCACCTGTACCGCATTTCTTTGGACTGTGGGGGAAACTGGAGCACCTGGATGAAACCCACACGAACGCAGGGAGAACATGCAAACTCCACAAAGAAACGCCAACTGACCCAGCCGAGGCTCGAACCAGCAACCTTCTTGCTGTGAGGTGACAGCACTACCTACTGCGCCACCTGCCTTAAGATATCAAACTTTAAGTACATTTTGGGCTAAAAATAACAATTCAAACTATATTTTATAAGGAAATTGAGTGAATACAAAAAAATGTCCGAACGTAGTTTTACAAACCTCCTTTTACTAATAAATAAAGCACAAAATTTATTTTTTATTTTGAGCATATTGGGTGCTTCATCATTTTTCATTATCCACTGACTCCCATCTGTGCTGCTCTTCGCTCCAGCATCATGTTATTTAAAGTAATGGCTGAAAGCTGCTAAAGTAAATTTTTGCAAATCCACAAAATGTTTCCTACACCCCACTGTGCAAATCCAGGATTAGTCTTTATGTTTACAATTTGGGTGAGGTCAAACTACTCCAATAGAAATTGACTAGCTAAAAGCAAACTTTTACGATCATCTGAAAGGATGTTGTGTTTTAGCGTGTGTTTTGAAACACTCAGTTCCTGATTGTTGCATTTGGCCTCAAACTGAGAGTGTTTCATGAGTTTATAAATAGAAACTGTGTTTGAAGTGGAAAAACATGAAGAAAGAGTGCAGGAAAGAAAAATAGAACAATATTTTCTTACCTTCTCAGAGTGGTGGAGTGGCATCAGGATTTCAACATGTGATCACCAATGATCTTACAGCCCGGAGACTCTTCCATATTAAGGGCAGGCGAACTGTCCGGGCCACAGAAGTTCCTCTCAGCTGGGCCAGTTTCAACAACGGTGACTGTTTCATTGTTGATCTGGGACCGGTAAGACCTGCAATAATATATAAAGTCAGGCATAAATACAGCAAGCACCAGGACCCTTAACTCTAATTAAGATAACTATTGTAATTATAAATTTTAATACTTTGCCACTATCCTAACCATTAGGGTTTTACCCATTTATCAGCAAGAAATACAATACAATTAATATACTGTTCTTCCAATTTCTTCCAAGTAACAAAATGGTTCTATAATAGGCTTGTTATATTTACATAACACATAAATATAATACACAATATTTCAAATTTTCTAAAATCATACAAAGTATGTGATACTAAATTTCAGTGACTTTTTCACTAAAAATCATAAAAGTTACTTCTAATAACAGGCAGTTTATTAGAGGGCATAAAGAGGGCAATTAACACATTGCCAATTAACTGCAAAAAAATTATCACATAAAGTAGAGATAATACAGTGTAACTCTCAAAACACCCCAAAAAAGGCCATGTACTGTATGCAAATTTCCAGCAACAGCAACTGGCTGGTTCAGTAACTTGTCAGCGTGTATTTATATATCCACTTTGTATGCTCTTTGGGTGGATTTGATTATTGGACTGCTGTCAAATTACTCTGACTGTCAACACATGGTGGAAAGCAAATGTTATGAAAGCACAAGGAACCACGTCTCAGATCAAACAACAGATGCATCCCTTAAGCAACTAACAACTCTTAAGATCTGGCTGATACTTCTGCATCAATCGATTGCCGTGACCCACGGCACATGCCTTGCACATAGGCGCGCATCTATAGTTCTGCACGCTGTTTGTGTTGCTCTGCAATAATATTTCTGAAATGCTAGATGGCATTAGGTTTTTATGTTCCTCTGTGTCGAGTTTCTTCTTGGGTTTTTTTTGTTTTTTTTCTGAACGCTACCTTAATGTAGAAGTTGCTAAAACTCATTCATTCAGAGGGAGGAACATAAGGTATACAAACAAAAGTTTCCATCTGGAGCTTCTTCACGGGTTTCAACACTTGTAAACACTCGCTCCATCTGGCTTACGGCTCTCAGCACCACCCACATTTGTCAGAGCTATCAAGCTGACCAATCACAGAGCTTGTCGGCGTCAGCCACGGCGAGGGCTATGTGACTGTGCAAAGGCTGCGTCAGAGGATACACGTGTACTTGACACAGAAGTATAAATTAGCCTTCACGTGGCCTTATAGCCCTCACTGTGGCTGACTCTGACACGCACCTCTCAAAAGATTTACATTCACATCGCAACAAGGCGTAGGGCAAGCTCTGTGATTAGTCGGCTTGGTAGCTGTGACCAGTGTGGGTGGGACCGAGAGCATGCAAACCCGCTAAAGTGAATGTTTACAAGTGTCAAGTCCCATGAAGTAGGTATAGATGGAAACTTTTGTTTTGTGTTTAACTCATAATTAAAGTTGTTGCAGTTCCCTCTTCTGAATGAGCAAGTTTTAGCTACATGTTCATTAAGGTAGCGGTCAGGCAAAACAAAACACCTGCGAAGAAACTCAGTACAGAGGAACCTAACATAACCTACTGCCCGCTAGAATTTTGGAAGTGTCATTACAAAACAACACAAACAGCATGCAGAAGTATAAATGCATGACTACGCGCAAGGCAGCAGCTGTGGGTCATGGCGATCACTCGACACAGAAGTATAAATTAGCCTTTTCTGACCTCATGCTGCGCAGAATGGTCTGCAGGAATATCAAACCATTGAACTGAACAGTTTGGCAGCACACTTAGGGCTTTACCTTCTCACTTCTCTAATGGAATTTACAGAACAGTCAATTAACCAGTACTGACAAATATTGACTGATATCATTCCATAATGACAGGGCAGGGTATTTTCAAAGGTAACGTAAAAAAAGCGTTCTTCCTAAGAAATTTCATGTGTCAAAACAATTACCATGAATGAAACCCAAGTCTTCCTAGGAAACCAACCTGTTTACAAATAACAACTTGTCTTAAAAACTAGGTAATCTACCAATGGTGTGGGTCTAAATGCAACAAGTTTGAGCGCATCAAAGCAGCCCAAGTGGGTACAGGCATTCGAGACAACGAGAGGAGCGGACGAGCTAAACTGGTGGTTATAGAAGAAGGACAAGAGCCCGCAGAGATGACAGAGGTATTAAATAAAAGTGTTAAAATATACACCATAACACAGCGTTCACTGTAGGCAACACAATATCTGGTTTATGAGGAAAGTTTTTCCTTTTTATACCTTATACTTTACAGGTTCTTGGTGTGAAGCCTGAAATCCCTGAAGGTGATGATAGCGAGGATGCAGTTGCTGACGTGTCAAACAGGAAGATGGCCAGTCTTTACATGGTAAACAAGTCTATAAACTTCAGCCTAATTCATTTCTACAAATTCAATAGATACATGCAATACACAATCATACAAAAAAAACGTAATAATTTATTATTTAAATATATTTGTACTTTACAGGTGTCAGATGCAACAGGAAAAATGCAAGTGTCGCTGGTATCAAAGGACAACCCTTTTGATCAAAGTAACCTGTTGTCTGACGAATGCTTCATTCTGGATCATGGAAAAAACAAAATGATCTTTGTATGGAAAGGTAAAGCTATTAAACCAGAGGTGTCCAAACCTGCTCCTGGAGATCCTCTAATTCACCATTGTTTTCACACTGAACATCTATCTTGGGAAGCATTCAGTCACTGCATTGGTCACACTGCGTGATAGATCAGTGACGGAAGTTTACACACTGCATGACTACATTTAAAAAACTTGCAGATAATTCTGTCTAGCTGAAACACATGCAAGAAGTGGAAAGGATTTAGCTTAATGTCTCACAAGACTGTGGTAGTCTGCAATACGTTTGCCATTCAAATGGTCTGTGCACTATTTTGCAACAAAAGGAGTTCAATGAATAATTTTGCAATGTGATGCTGCTGATGTTTGATTTCTGTTTAATGGTATTGTAAAGCTTATTTATTTTGAGATTGTGGCCTATAATTCCTCTTCGAACACCCACTGCCCTTTATCTAGCTCTCTAATTGGCTGTAGGTCATTGCCAGTGTGTTTTTCAGTCAGAATGATTTGAACTAAATATTATGCTAAATATTTCACATATTGGTGATTTTCTCAGACCGTGTCTTTGATAATTGACACTGCATGCTTTTCTTAGGATTTCAGTCATTGGTTGATGATGTTTTAAAATTTGTTGGTTAGTGAAAATCAGGGCTATAATCGTGCAGAGTGAACTTGGAATGATTTACAGAGTTAAGCTCCTAGCCGAATGAAACACAACTAAACAACTGAAGTAATTAAAATCTCCAGGATTAATAGAAATTTCTAGACAAATGTGTTGGAGGAAAATTTTGCAGGACATGGACCTTCCAGGATCAGGGCTAGATGACTCTGCATTAAAAATGAGTTGTGTGACATTCAAAATGCCTGACATTATTTTTAATTTAGGCCACAATGCAAATCCAAGTGAGAGAAAAGAGGCCATGAAAACAGCTGAGAGCTTCATTAAGCAGATGGGATATCCTCAAAACACACAGGTTCATAAGCATTAGATATGCACATTTGTTTTGCTGCATTATTTTGTACATTATCAAGTATAGAGCTTGGATTACAGGTCTTTTCATCTTTGTACACAGATCCAGGTTCTTCCAGAAGGTGGAGAAACACCCATCTTTAAGCAGTTCTTCAAGAGTTGGAAAGAGAAGGACCAGGCCGAGGGTTTAGGCAGAGTCTTTGTCACAGAGCGGATCGCTAAGATCAAACAAGAGAAGTTTGATGCCTCCAAGCTGCACGAATCTCGGCAAATGGCTGCTCAGTACAACATGGTTGACGACGGCGCTGGAAAAACAGAGGTCAGATTTTGCATTAAGGAGATTGGAGACTATATAGGTGACTGTATAAGAGAATAAAACTAGCGACTACTACTCTATTACTATTCTAATTCTTACACATGTCTCTATTTTGAAAGAAAATTAACAAATGAAACCCAGTTATTCTGAACTGTGAATAGATTTGATGTGATATTTTTAATCTGTGGTTGTTTAACAGATATGGAGGGTGGAGTGTGGTGCTACCAAAGGTGATACCAAGGTTCCTGTAGACCCAGAGACATACGGCCAGTTCTATGGAGGCGACTGCTATATCATTTTATATAGGTACTCCAAAGGAGAAATCATTTACACCTGGTAAGTCATGTGGAAGTGCTAAGTTTCCCAAGAGAAAGTCAAGTCATGTAAAAAAAAAATAAAGCTTACTGCTCTATGCTTTTACTCTCAGGCAAGGTTCCCGCAGCACCATTGATGAACTGACAGCTTCAGCTTTTCTCACTGTTGAACTAGACCGTTCACTGGGGGGAAATGCTGTTCAGGTGAGGAGATTTGAGTTTTACCTATCCACTCATTTATTGACTGTAACTAGGTCAAGATCAAGGTGTCAAATAATTCCTGGAGGGCCTCAGCTCAGCATAGTTTAGATTTAGCTGTAATTATACAAACTTAATCAAATTAATTGAGTCCTTTAGGCTTGTTTGAATTGTTTTGAAGCAGGGTTGGAATTAACCTCTGCACGGCTACAGCCCTTTATTAACTGAGTTTGACACCTCTGGTCTAGTTCATTGGATTATAGCAGAACTGGGCAACTCTGGCTCTCAAGATCCAATGTCCTGTAAAGTTAAACTTCATCAAATTTACCTGTAGCTTTCTAGTAATCCTAAAGCCATGAAATAGTAGTTTGTTCATGTGTGTTTGATTAGTGTTGAAGGTAAAGGCCTAGTCCTAGATTATGAACCAGCTCAGTGTTTCCTGATGCAGATCCTGAAGTGCCCTAAACACAGCACATGTAGTCTGTCTTCTTAAAAAAAAAAAAAAAAACACACCAGACTCAACTCATTAGATCTTTAGTAGTGACTCCAAGACCTGAAATTGTTCTGTCAGATGAGAAAGACAATGTACACTATTGAGGACACCCCAGATTCATGTTGGGAAACCCCTGAACCAGAAAAATAAGTGCAGCAAAGATGTACAACCCAAGGTCTGACTAAAAACCTTAAAAAAGTGACTGGAGTACATTTGCGTATGAACAACATATATAGGTTGTGACTATTTCCCAAATCAACGTGTTGCCAAAACAGAACTTGTGAATATAGCTAGTAAGCAATGCAATTGCAAGATGCACCCCAGGCTTGTGCAGTGGCGCCCCCAGAAAATTTTCTTAGGGGTGGCCAGAAGAGGCCGCACCAAATCTTGGGGTGGCACACAAAAAAATTATGAATTCAGTGTAATGTTATATTTTTGTTTTTGGTAAATGTAATAATGTAGTTTTTATTCATTTAATTAATTCTTCTTGAAATATTGCTATTTATTCCTTGAAGTAATTCAGGAAGTACATGTGCAAACCAAATAAAAATCTGTTTAGTTTAAAAACACTTTTCATATGAAAGAATGATAAGTTTATTAATAACCCAAACAAATGAACAAACTGAACAAAAGGGATTACTATACACACTCACTATACCTAATAATATAATTTATCCATATTACTTTTTGAGCCATTTTATTAATGCAGCTTCTTCTATTGATATACTGTACCTTAAGGTAAATATTAAATTGCCATTGCTGTCTATTGAAGGTGTGTGCGTGCTGTCAACGACGATCGGGAAGGGTAGTGGCGGTTCTAGTTTAAATGACACCCTGGGCGAACCACCCTATACACCCCCACCTCCCTTGAATTGTTAGATTTGTTATTCAATAAATATAGCAATTTATTTATATTTATTTTATTATTATTTATATACAATTATTATTCTGAATAAATAACAAATCAATCCTAAATATTACTGGAAAACAACAACTGGAGTGATATGCCAAGATCACTTAAGAAACCATTTGCATGAAAATTATTTATGACAATTCTAAATAATACAAAAAATGTATTATAGAATTATCTGTGGTCTTAGACCAGATCATGGCTGAGAAATCATGTTATGAAGTCTTACCTCCCTGACTCATTATCCCTCCTTTCTGCTTTAAAGGCATGCTTAGTGAAAGTAACATCATCATCATCATATTATATAAACTTTAGACGACTTTCACCTCTGCACAAAAGGCTGTTACTCCGTTTCACGGCGCATGAGCAGTGCGTATTTTGTCGGCGTGCATGCAAACAACCAACCGGGATTCACACAGGAGTGCGTGAGGCGCGCGGGAATGGTTTTCTGCGCGCATGCGTCAGTTTGCTTTCACCAGCATTCAGCATTGAACCAGCACTAAGGGGGAGAGACAATGAATCAGCTACGTCAGTAACACCAACAATAATTTAGTGGTTGCATTTTATTTATTTAAACATTGGGGATTTATAAGTACATTTAAATCAATAATGTCAACAGCAAAATTATATTGGGGTGGCCACAGGGGTGGCCAGAGTTTACCGAGGGGTGGCCGTGGCCACCCCTGGCCACCCCTTGGGGGCGCCCCTGGGCTTGTGGGGTTATTTTTAATGAAGCCTCACTATCATTCAATGTCCAACCAGGTAAGAGTGACTCAAGGAAAGGAACCACCTCATTTGCTGAGCCTCTTCAAAGACAAGCCTTTGATTGTGTATAAAGATGGGACATCTAGAAAAGGAGGACAGGCTCCTGCAGCTCCAACCCGCCTCTTTCAAGTGCACAAGAACCTGGGAACCATTACAAGGATTAGTGAGGTGAGTCCTGGTTTGCACATGGAGACAACGCTGTTCTAGCACAATGTCCAAGACAAATGAGTTTGGTCATCAGAAAATGATAGATGGAGATAAATCAAATGTTCAAGTTAACCTGATCTTGCAAAATGGTGAAAGATGGTTAATTCACTAGACTGCAATGTGGTGGTAACCTGATAAATTTATAGGTCATCTGTTTAGCACAGGAAGATTGTCTAGGCCAAGATGGTGGAGATTTGCCTGATTCTCCAAATCAGTGTTGACCATTTGTGGTTGGAGTGGCCTATTTTGATTTTGATGTGTCCTCTGAGTGTGTTGGTTTGTGGTCTAACAGGTGGATGCTAAAGCATCAAGTTTGAACAGCAATGATGCCTATCTGCTGAAGTTACCTCAGGGAGATGGGTACATTTGGAAGGGAAAGGGGGCCAGTGAAGAAGAGGAAAAAGCTGCAAAGTACATGACCGAGAAGCTGAACTGCAAAACCAAAATGGTTGTTGAAGGAAAGGAGCCAGGTAAAGCTAATATGGATTCAATGACATACTTTTGACCATGGCTTTATGATACAAGGAACATTTGTGATGTACAATATTGATGTTAAGTATTGCAGATGTTTTGATTCTTCAACTTTGTCGCCTTCTCCTTTCACTTTCAGGACCGGTCTATCCAATAGCATAATAGCACTTAATGATAGTAAGACCCAATCTGATTGGTAGAATTTGGACAAACAATACACAAATGCTTGGCACATAGAATATTTTTAAATTTGATCACATCTTTGAGACCTGGACATTGAATGTACTATAATCACAATAACATTTTATTTATTGTGCAACTTTCCTTTTAACTAAGATCATTAGACTTATATGCACTAACTTCTCATTTTCCCTTTAAAAGAGGCCTTTTGGATGGCTCTGGGTGGAAAGACAGAGTATCAGACGTCTGGGTTGTTGGAGAGTAGAACTATAGCACATCCTCCTCGACTGTTCGCCTGCTCCAACAAAACTGGAAAGTTCATTGTGAGTATCCTAGACCTGATAAAACTAAGTCCAGTTTAGTTTTACACTGGGATTTTACTCTCAGAAGAAAATGTAACTATTTTACACTTTGTCAGTTTAAAAACTACTTTGTATGAATTCATGCGATTTCATTCGTAAAAATATTGTACAAAAAGGTGTGACACCAAACCAAACTCCTAAGCACAATCATGGGGGATGAGCAAATCATACTGAAATGTACAAATAAGATCTTACAAATTTATACAATTTAGTCACTCAGTCAAAAAGTTAGGAATTGGCGCAAGATATATAGTTCAACATGTTTTGCATTGGAGCCAATGCTGACCATGTAAAACAGAACCTGTCTGTGCTAAATGATCAGATACATACGGTCAAACTGAACTACTGATTGAAAACTGACTTTTACAACTATAGATCGAAGAAGTACCTGGTGAGTTTAACCAAGATGATCTGGCTGAAGATGATGTCATGCTGCTGGATGTCTGGGATTCGGTTAGACGCTTATCTCTCTTTATGACTTCCTCATGGATTATGTTTAAGATTCAAAGGTATCTCCTGCCTTGGGTGTAGCCATGATGACTCTTGATTTCCCCCTCAGGTTTTTGTGTGGATTGGGAAGGATGCCAATGAGGTGGAGAGGACTGAGTCTGTGAAATCCGGTGAGATGCCTCAGGCACACATTCATTTGAGTCAAATTAAAGGGATAAACATGAAATTTAAAATACAAAAATCAACATTTTCAATATGTCGTCTGTTGGCTAACTAATAAATATGGTCATTTAACTTTCTGAATACTGTTGTACTTTTGCAGCAAAGATCTACATTGAGACAGACCCATCAGGACGGGACAAGGGGACTCCTTTGGTTGTGGTAAAGCAGGGACATGAGCCCCCCACCTTCACCGGCTGGTTCCTGGCGTGGGACGCCTCTCGATGGGACGGTGACCTCATGGCAAGAGCACTGAATTCCCTCTCTGTAGTTTAATGAAAGGCTCAGTTCTGAACTCAATGGACTTCACTGGAAATATAAAACAGATGTTTGTTTATGGAGGCATGAAGAGTGAACTATATTGATATATTCTATGAAAATCTTTTTAAAAATACTCCTCCACCCATCCTAAATACTCCAATTCACTTTTGATCATAAAGTTGTGCACATCATTTAGAAGGGTTCGCACAGTTTTGTTTCTTCTCTGAATTTCTGTAAGCATGATTTAAAAATGTATTATTAAAGAATCAATGCACTTTTGAAAATGATTTTGTCTTTGTTAATGCAGCACACCAGAACCCCCTAGAGACACAAGATACATTTATACAAGTAGAATAAACATTCTAGACCAGGGGTTTTCAAACTTTTTCAGCTGAGGGCCCCTTTGTGTAAGGCGAATTCTTTTGGGGACCCCCCTAAAATAAAAATGACGCCACCCCCTCAAATTAACAACTGTACTTAATTTTTTTTATTGTATTATTCAATACATTTATATTATTATATATTATTCAATAAATTTATATTATTCATTATCTGGATTGATTTTTGTAAGATGTTAGTTGAGTTGACATGGTTTTAGTGCTTCAATCTATTGATCAAATCTTGATGCGCAGTACTCATTGTGGTCTGCTCTCACTGGATTATTCCATCAAGCCATATTTTGTGTACAAGTCGTCACTTTACACAGTTTTTATGCCATTTTTATGCTTTTTTTCAGCCTATGCACAGCTAGACTCTTCTGTATTTACCCTTACAGCTGAGAGTCTAAATGTATCTAAAGATTTAAAGCTTTAAAGTTTTAAAGAGTTTTGTCATTCATCAGCCTGTTAACAGTTAACTGTACTGTTGTAACTAGCAATACTACAATGGAGGCTGTGTGTTTTGTTTATTTTTATTCCTTTTTTTTTTGTGCACATCATAATTTTCTCAGGTCGACAATCCTGACTTACACTGATAAAAAAATAATTTCCTAAATGCAATCTAGAATTGGGTATTCAAGTTCAAAGAGCCACAAGTTTTACTTTGCATAATTTTAGAAGCTTTGCTGACTTTAAAATGTTCATACCAGTTTGTTCTATTAATAATAATACTGAACATTACATTTAAATTAGTTACACAAACAAATATGGGAAAAAGTGGAACAAAAATGCATTTATATTCAGAGTATTAAAATTTGATCAGGTATGTTGAGCTCCATTAAATACAGAACACTAATACATTTTAATATTTAATAATTATTAGCCCTATAACATAACACAAACAGATACATTATAATTTTTAAAGGCTATAGTGGTTTTACTCAGTGTGTATACAATTTAGTTTTTTTAATCATCCAGTTATGAACCAATGTGAGTAAGAGGTCCACTGCAGAGCTCATCCAGCTGTCATTAGTGTAACAGGAGTGAAACTCTGAGAACTCGCTGATGTGATGACAGCTCCATTCATTGTTATTGCAGCACTTTTTGCTTTACAATTGTAATATGTTTGTTTGCCATGCTGCAAAGAGGACCGTCTGATATTTGTACAATGCAAAGTGTAAAAGCCTGTCGCGCTGTGGACGAGGTGCAATGTTGTGCCGTGTCTTTAAAATGCTATTTGTTCTCTATGAGTGAAGCCTGCGCAGAGAGGCGCGCACTCCGCAGCACCTCGGTTACTTAGGAACGCAAGCCATAAACAGGGTAGTGCTTTCAGCCACCGATAATGTTCTTATTGATCATGTATTTTAACTGAAATATAGTCAGTCAAACCTGAGCATTCATTTAGTTGTTTAGCGTAAAAGAGGTAAGCGTAAGTGAAAGGTAAACGCCGTCAGGTACAGCAGACAAGCGCCAAAAATCACAGTCAGGAAGCGCCTGGCCAGAAGCGCTTATTCAATAAAAGTCCCCGTCCACGGAGGCGGGCCGCTGCGCTTCTTTTCCTGTGTCACGAAAGTGTCAACTGCATTTAAATGACATAAGCATAAAGCTTCATTTTTGCAGTACTTTTGAGCTCAAATTATAATACAAATATATTAACCTTAAGAATGATGCGGGACACAAAATTCATCCATGTGGGCTCATTGATCTAAAATTTCTTTGCGGCCCCCCTAGCGCCATCTGGGGCCGCGGACCCCAGTTTGAAAACCCCTGTTCTAGACATGTTGTAGTAGCTGTTTGCTGACATCCATTACACATACAAAATAGCACAATGGCAAAGTACTCATAATTAGATAACACTTCCGAAAGTAAAGTATTTTTACAATAATTTGAAAATGTACTAGTTTTATGTCCAGGCATGGGTTTGTGTAAAATGTTCATATTTGAGTAACAGTTTTTAATAACTTCATGGCTATAAACCATTTGTTAAGCATCAAAAACAATTTAAATGATCATTTATTATGCATAAACACTAATAAACATTTGCAATCAGTTCATAAATGCTGTATTTGAAAGATTCAAAAATGTGTTTTGAAATATATGTATCATTTAACATTTTTTAAATAGTATTAAGTAGAAGAAGAAAAAAATGTTTCCCCATTTCATGTGTCTAAAACACGAGACCAAACTTACATCTGTGCTCCAGTTTAAAGACTTTATATAGTTTTATTTGGAAATGTCTTTTTCATCTTAGAAAATGGATTATTACTACTGTATATAAAAAATGCACCAAACAATCAACAATAGACAAAAATAAACACTAAATAAAAATAATGAATAAAATATAGAAACTTTTTAAAATAAAAAACTGAACTTCATTCATTCATTTTCTTTAGCTTACCCAATTTACCTGTACCAGATTTCTTTGGACTGTGGGGGAAACTGGAGCACCCAGAGGAAACTTACGTGAACACACAGAGAACATGCAGACTCCACACAGAAACGCCAACTGACCCAGTCGAGGCTCGAACCAGAGTCCTTCTTGCTGTGAGGCAATCGTGCTACAAACTGAGCCACCATGTTGCCCCTCTTTAATTTAATTTAATTTAATTATTATTAAAAGCAATAATGTCTGGAGTAATAATTTCATTTGAAATTCAATAAAATAAAAAAATTAAATAAACTAAAAAAAACTGTTATTTAAAATTTTTATGAATATTTAACAGTTCAACAAATTTTTATACATTTAACAATTTGAATAATCATTTGATGAACAGAATATTCATTTATTCATTTTCTTTTCGACTTAGTTTCTTTATTAATCTGGAGTCGCCACAGAGGAATGGACCACTAACTTTTCTGGCATATGTTTTACGCAGCGGATGCCCTTCCAGCTGCAACACATCTCTGGGAAACATCCATACACACTCTTACACACTCATACACTACGGACAATTTAGCCTACACAATTCACCTGTATCGCATGTCTTTGGACTGTGGAGGAAACCGGAGCACCCGGAGGAAACCCACGCAAACGTGGGGAGAAAATGCAAACTCCATACAGAAATGCAAACTCCACACTGAAACACAGAAACAACTGACCCAGCTGAGTCTTGAACCAGCAACCTTCTTGCTGTGAGGCAACAGCACTACCTATTACCACTGCGTCACTGGTGAACAGAATAATTTTCTTAAAATAAAAAAAAACATTAAAAAAATGACCCTAAACTTTTGTTTTAATTGAAAATAGGGGTTATTCTTTTATTTAATTAAACATAATTTTCACCAACTGTCATTTCAGCTATAAATTACTTTTTATTTTTATTTTATTTTAACATTAGAGGAAATGGCTTTTTTTTTTTTACAAAAATCTGTAAATGGGCATTTATTGTTGTTTGTCAGAAATATCCATATTGAAAATAAATGAGGAAACTAATTTAAACAAGCCTTTTTCTTTCTTTTTTCTTTCTATCAATATCTAGCTTAAACGTGTTTAGGTTAGAGCATTTGACAACATGTTTTGGAGAATTTGTTTAATTAAACATTTATATTTGTTATAAAAACTAAAATAAACAAACAATTGTTTATGTTTTTTTATTACAATAATTTGCCAACTTTTCCCTCAAAAAAGAAGAGACCAAACTCACAATTGTGCTCCAAATCAAGGTACAATAGATTCGACATAGCTCTGTCAAAAAAAAAACTGTTGCTTTCAATGTCCATAGCTGCAATCTGACCTAAACTTACAAACTAATGACATCATGACGAAATACTGCCGGAAGCCAAACATTGCAAAAAGGTTTTTAAAATTGTATTAATTATTAAATTATGCATTTTAGATAATATAATCATTATGAGCTCTTATTACATTTCAATATCAATTTTCACAATGTTTTAACATTTTTAACTAAATTATCCTTACAAAGGAATTACACATAATTGACTCTTACAGAAAGCCAAAAATATTATTGTATATGGATCGCTTTTTTTAAAGTAAAACCACGCAGGATATCAAAACTCACACTTACAAGCGGTGACGTTTCTCGTTTTTAACACAAGATGGCGCACATGTAAAACATAATGCTTCCTCATTATTAAACAATTTGGGATCGACATAACCAATGATGCAATCCATTCATTTACAGCATATTGAGCGCTGTGCTATTATTACATGAAATGCCTTGGTTCTAATAAATTATTAACTTCCAAAACAATCTTTAGTTTTTTTATGCTTTATGTTGTGTATTTGTTGAACTTTATCGAATAAGCATATCGGCCTAGGCTATTTGACTGCACATACGAATGAGCTTCAAGTGACTAATTAACCTGTACTGAATTAACTAGCTCAAATCAACGATCTCAGGCGAGTGATGAGGCGAGATTGGGTATTCAGTGAGTTAGATCTCCGGTGTATGAATGGATGTGTGGTGTACGTGACAGCACGTCCATCACGGAGCAATTGTGTATCGATTGCGTTGTTAATTGTTCCGACACTTTGATGGGCCTTTTTCTTTGACGAGACTCTTTTCTCTTTTGTTTGCCATTGTATTTGATACTCGCTGATCTACTGTTCATCCCTTCTTTGAAGTTAACTGAATTGTTTGTGAATTGTAAAAATCCGACCTCATATAACCTTTATTGTTATGTATTAAGTATTTTGAAAATATATACAAAGTATATTTTAAACCAGAAAGGCTCAATTACAAAAAAAAAAAAAAAAAAAAAATATATATATATATATATATATATATATATATATAGTCTATTTCAGGATCAAGAAAAAAAATCTATTTGCAAGGTTACAATAGAAAAGAGAAACCAAAACTAGGGCCTGAGAGCCAAAGTTAGCCCATGATATCCTTTGATTTGGCCCACCATCTGAGGGAGAGTGATGGGATGGTTTCCAGACAATTCAAATTTAATCTAACCCTTTGTTTGCTTTATTGTTATTGTTAAAAGCCAACTGAAATTAAATGTTTCAATTAAATGATGTAAAATAATCAGATTTTTTTTTTCTAAATGTACATATCACCTGACAATGCTGAGAATTTGGTGAGTAAAACAATTCAAAAGCAGATTCTGCTTAACCTGTGTGTTCAGCATTGAACTCCACTGTGGTATAAATGTGAACATTTTTGGCACCCTGCAATAGAATGTGGATGGAGATCAATATACATTGTGCTTTTTAAAAGAATCCAGTCTAAAACAGTTTAGATCAGGGGTGCCTAAACTTTTTTCGAATGAAGGGCCAAAAACCAAATATCACTCAGAGCTGTGGGCCGAAGGTATTTATACCAAATTTGATTCATAATATTTCAAAATAAATAGAAAAAGTTACTTTAAATTGTATTATCTAATGCAGTATAACCTTTTAAATATTAAAAATTATTGCTTATTGCAATAAAAACAAACTATCCCGTTTATACCACAGTGGAGTTCAATGCTGAATACACAGGTCAAGCAGAATCTGCGTTTGACCTGTTTTACTCACCAAATTCTCTGGACTGATGGGAGGTAGTATGTACATTTAGACAATATCTGATTAATTTACATAATTTAGTTGAAATTTTATTTTAGTTGGCTTTTAAAAATAACAATAAAGCAAACAAACAAATGGTTACATTAATTTGAAATGTCAATGTGGAAACCATCCCCATCACTCTCTCTCAGATGGGATGGTGGGCCAAATCAAAGTTTACCAAGGTCCAACTTTGGCCCCCTGGCCCTAGTTTGGGCTTCTCTGGTTTAGATTAACAGAAAACAACTATACAGATATGTCTGATTTTGTCTGATAACAGAAGAGCTTTTTTGTGTCTTGCTCAAATTTTTTTTACATTTTACAATGGTGCACTTTTAGAACATATTTAGGTAAATACATTCATCTTTTAAAATATATAAATGCTTTAAAATGCATCCAAACTCATACAAAAACTGTACCATGCGGGTCACACTTTATTTGGATGGTCCGTTGATTTTAAGGTAAACTATATCTACTTGCACAGTTTCTTCTTGAAGGAGCAGTATCAACAGCTATTAAGCAGATAGTCTAATACTCAACTGGACCATCAAAATAAATTGTTACCCTTGTTTATTTATTTGTTATATTTATTTTGTTATAATCTATAAGAGAATAAAGAACTGTTTTGATTGGGATATTTTAAATAGATTGCAGAGCATCAAACAAAACGAACTGAATCAGTTCCCTCAATGATTCAGACAACTCGAGAATCGTTTGAACAGTGCCTCACTCAGTAAACACTGACGAAATACAGCATGAGGTGCTTTTTTTGCAGATAACACACTGAACCAAAAGCTCCACAAGCTCTCTTTTTGTTTTCCAGCTCTAAAAAGCCGCTGAGGCTCACCTTTAAGCGCGTCTCCGAAACTTTAAACGCCTTGAGCGACATGAACAGGTGGTGAGGAGGCGTGTCCAAGCAGACGACAGGCTTGACTTTTGACCATCCAAACTGCAGGGAAAATAACGCGAGCGCAATGGGTTGAACCAATCGGCGCATTCTTCCACACAGTGGGCGGAGCCATCCCTGCTAGAATGGAGTGGAAGCAGCTCGCCGGAGAGTCAGTGAAACAGGCGCTGTCAGAAGGAGTGGATATACACTTGTCGGCTCAGCTGATTTGAATGACAACAATATTTTGAAAATAGTCGGATACATTTTCATCTGCTGAGCTAACGCTTGGAGGAAGGATCGCACGAAATAAGGTGGGTGCCGATTAAGACTTTTTTCTAGTATATGCGTGTGCTGGCAACGCTTAAATTATAGATATATATCATTAGTCTGAGTGATAATGTAATTTAGAGTAACTTAATATTTGGGAAACGAATAGCCAGCATTCTGGGGACCAGTAAACATTCTTGGAGCTCAAAATGATAACGTCTGCCATGTTGAATTACTTGTTGGATGAAAATGATGAATAATATTCATGTCTTCATGTATGGAGATGTGCCACTCCTAAAGCGCGTTTACAGTTGGCCATAGAGATCTGCGACAGACTCGTGTTTTCCACATTTACATAGGCCAGCACGTGCGCTTTTATCTGTTTGCAACTGGCAACTACTGTTGAACAATAAAATAGCATGAATAGACAGACACGAGTCTTGGATTTTTACCGATGCGTAATTTTGGCGCCCCTGTGGCGCTACATGTGCAAATAGGCTTCCTGCTGTTTCATCCTTCATTCACCATCACTGGCACTGAATGACACCCAGCCTGGATGAATCTGTGTCCCTTTTAGAATGACAAAAAGACAAGCATGCTTATTTAGGATGAAGTAAAGGAGAGCTGTAAAACTGTGTGTCATGGTGCTCCACTGCTGGCCTCATTGCATCATCTCCTTTTTCATTTGGTTTCAGGTTATCAGAGCAGCAGCTTCTCAGGGGAACGAGAGAAGCCTTGTGAATATTTGGTGAAGCGATAGCAGCGGCGACACCTGGTCTCCCGAGTCCCCACGTTCGCTTTCATCCTCATCAGAGTGGAGAAACAAGATGGGGAATGGATTATCAGAGCCCCATGCCATCTTTCCGTGCCTGCCGTCCTTCCAGGCCCTGCACATTGTTATTCTCGGATTGGACTGTGCCGGTAAGACCACAGTGTTGTACAGACTACGCTTCAACGAGTTTGTGAACACCGTTCCCACTAAGGGCTTCAACACAGAGAAGATCAAAGTAAATCTTGGTCCTAAAAGCCGGACTGCCACCTTTCACTTTTGGGATGTAGGGGGTCAGGAGAAGCTCCGACCACTCTGGCGCTCATACACACGGTGTGCCGATGGCCTTGTGTTTGTGGTGGACTCGGTAGATGCAGAACGCATGGAGGAAGCCAAGACGGAGCTACATAAGATCACACGGCTTCAGGAGAACCTGGGGGTGCCTGTGCTGGTGGTGGCTAACAAGCAGGACCTGCGTAGCGCTTTGCCCCTCTCTGAAGTTGAACAGATGTTGGCGCTGAATGAGCTCGGTTCCCATACACCCTGGCACCTCCAACCGGCTTGTGCCATCATCGGAGAAGGTCTCCAAGAAGGCCTTGAACGCCTCCACACCATGATCATCAAGCGGAGAAAAATGATGAGGCAGCAGAAACGGAAAAGATGACTCTTTGGTGATGAGAATGTGAGCTGGTAGGCCTCTGTGATGGCTCCGCTACTAATGTGCCATAGGCCTTTGTGGCCACTGCGCTCCTGGAAGTATTGTTTCATCGGGCTGAGTTTTATCAGTCAGGAGGTCCTGGATGGGTACAGTTCAGAGACTGCGAGAGGACAATATTGATTGTCCACTTTGGTTATCGGATTGTAGCAGCTGTGGGACGATCACATGGAACTTTCACATTAACGCAGTGTTACGCAATGTCATTGGGTCTGTGGTACATCCAGTTCTTGTGAAGGACAGTACTGGACATGAACTTGTAAATGACAGAGACTGTTCGCCAAAGAGTTGGTTATTGTCTGACATGTTACACGTATCTAATATCCTAGCATTCATATGAAGTCTTGAAATGGAAGGACTGATTACCAAAGCTGCCATGGACTAATGAAAAAAAAAACCTGCACATTCAGGATGATTAGTTTTATCCAGAATGACCACCCTTCATTTTCCCTGAGTGTTTGTCGTCTCGGTGGTCAGGGGAACCAGAATAAGCTTTATGGATCACTTGTTGGGGAACGCACAAATGTTTATTTGACTAGACTCACTGAAGCAGGGTATTTCGCTAACCACTAAAGTATTTCAACAGGTGGATGTGGAAAGATTTGTAAGGTGTAAAATCCTTCTCAAGTGGCCCTGTTGACTGACACATGGAGGACTTGAGGACTACTAGCATTATTTCTAGCTGTACCTACATTGTGTGCTCTCCTGAACAACAAGAGATGTTAAATGCACTTTAGCAATTCCCTTTTCTAAAATATGAACTTGTAAAATCTGATTTTTTTTTTTTGTAAAGAGTTTATCATGTTACAAAAATGAAGTAACGTATTGCTTCAAATGAAGCGTTTTTTTCAACTCTCCACTGTTTCACATTCAGATGTGTAAATTTGTCACTCGGTGATTGTGTGTTGGGATTTTCATATTTATGTGTCAGAATTTGTACACTTTGAATAAATCCACAACTACACTGAACATATTACGTTTGAAGTCATTATTAATACTTGTTGCAAATTGACGTGGATTGTCAAAGTTTATGACTTGACAACATTTAGTCTGATAATTGCTTGACGCACTTTAAAGATGAGTCACTGACTTTTAAAGTCACTGGGACACACAGTGATGAGGAGATATGACGTAAATTATCTGTGACCTGTTCTAGGCATGCGACCAAAAAGGTTGCACTTTGTACATGGTTTGTTGTCAAACATCTATAAATGTTAAAGGTGCTGCTTAATTGCCATTCTTGCATCATTATATTGAATGTGAAGGCTTAAAGTGTAAAGGCTTAACCCATTTAACTGCCCCACCAAGAAAAAATGTTTGGATTGCATTTCCTATTATAGTTAACACACTCAGTGCATTTTATTTCAACACATCCCATAATTTCTAAAATATCAACCTCTACCAAATGGTTGATATGTCAGTTTATGATAAAAGTACCGGAATTATTATATATAATATGAAGTGTAAGACCAATTTATTTAAAAACATAATAAAAAAAAATCCTTTTTGAATACTTAATTATCTTTATTTTTTGAAGTAAGCCATAAAATATTTCAGATTCTCATTTAATATGCTTTCCTTTTTAAAATAAACCCAAAATTAAGTGTAGTAGTGTAACAGAATTATGCTTGTTAGATTTTTTTGTAAACCAACAATGCTGTGTCTTGAAAACCATTAATTAAATCAGTTATTCTTTAAATGACTTTATCAGACATTATTTAATAGGTCATATATGGTCAACCACCATAACAATTTAACAATAGGTTTGCCCATTTACTGATGTTGGTTTCTTTACCAGTGTCAGCTCCAATGAAAACTACAAAAAAAAAATCAGCCCTTTAAATGACAGCTTGTTTACATAATACTTCTCTTAATTCTAAAAACAAAACAAACAAACAAACAAACAAAAAAAAGTCTGTTATTTTTCATTCAAATAACTACAAATTTAAAGCCTTAAAAAAGGGAAGCCGGTTCACAAAAACACTTTGCTTACATGGTACTAGAATGAAATATTGTAGTTATAGTGGGTTTCATTTGGAATATTGAATGCTCCCAAAGGTCCTGAAATTTCAAATATCAAATATTATAAGGAAATATCAAAATAAAAAAAAAACGTATGTATTGTTTTTTTTTTTTTTTAATGTTTAACATTTGCATAAACAAAACCAAGATGATGACAAAAAATACATAGTACATAATACATATACACAGTGCTCAGCATATGTAAGTATAAAGTATAAATTGATATTTTTAATATGAAGCAATACAATTTTTATCTGTGCATATACACTAGATTAGTCAGTACTGAAAACAAATCTGGAGCTTACCTAACAAAATATCTTGTGATAACGGTCCAAAAACTAGTAAACTCCAAATTTATGTTATAGAAAAATATTAAATACATATTTTAAAAAAGAGGAAAAAGGGAAGCAATTTTTTTTTTTAAATTTAGTTAAAATTTTATAAGTTGTAATATATTTTTGCAATATTTAGCTTGAATTTATTGCATTATTTTTTAAATTTCTAAATATGTTTGGTGGCTAAATATTATTTTAATAAATATATCTGTTTAAGAAATCTGTTTTGTTTAAATGCACCAAAATACACAGCCTATATTTACTGAGAAATAGAAAAAACGATTCATTTTCTAAATGGAGTGTACTCAATTATGTTGACTAAAACATGTATAAGGTTTAAAATTGTTATTCGAAGGACTTTACACTTTATGCAGTTCATATACTAATCTGGATTAGTATATAAAGCAGTCTGGAACAGATTCTCAAACAATGTCAGGATATTAATCAGTTTAAAAACACTTTAAATTTAAACATACTGTATACTATTAAAGGAATATAATTATAAGTATAAGTGATTGAAAAAGAACAAAATGAGAAAGGTATGATGACATTTTAATTAATGGCTTTTTGCAATACTATATACCTTTTGGGTCTATATTATAAAATGTAAAGGTACAAATGTAATCAAACATATAATATGTCAAAGACGCTTAAAACATAAAGTATGTGTCATGTAAAGCTCATATGTCTCGTGTAAAAAGAAGAGATAAGTAAAAGAAGAAATAAATAGAAGTATTAAACGAATGATGTGTGTGGTAATGGGGTGGGGAAAATAATAAGCTTGTGCTTCATCCCGCTCCATTTCGACCATGTTGAAATGTATTTCGTTTTAAGAGCTGTTTTGTGTAAGATTTTTTCTGTTCGAAATAAATAAATTTTATCAAATCAAATATAAGAATCATCAGTTAATACATTTTAGATACTATTTTTAATTCCACTGTGCTTTAAGCATTTCTAGACGCAAAGATGTATATCCAAGAACTTGGCTTGGTTTTAAAACTAGCTTTTGAAAACCATTTTCTTCATCATCCACAATCTACTTAATCGCTGACCTTTAAAACAAAGTAAATCAAACGGTTCTTCCATAACAAAGCACCCTTGCTGAGAGTTCATTCAAAATTAAGCATTTATCAAATAAGTCAGCACAAGCATAATTTGTTCTTTGACAAACTCTGATATCAAACTGAGTTTTTCAACACAGCTGGTTTTGCCCGGAGCCCCACAGAGTGGAATGTTTGTGTTTGGAGAGTTTCTAGCACAGCCAGTTCCAGCACAAAAATACTTTCTCTGGGAACAAAAAAGGCTTTTAATGCAGGGAGAGGGGCCTGTGCACCAGCTGACCAGTTCAAACAGGCCTCCATCCCTGGACGTTGGTCTATTCTGCATTCAGATGGCAGCTGGATGACAGACAGATCACGTGACTCTGCTCTCAGAAGATAATAGAAGTGGGATTGGCTTCTAATTGGGTCTCAAATCATGAAAAATGCAAACGTCTATCCTCCACAGAAGCCGCAGCATGCACCAAGTGGAAAACCTGCTGTTCTGGTGCTCGTTTAGGGAGACGGTACAAAGAGAATTCACAATTTAGCATCTCAAAACACTGTTGCATGCTTTTGTATATTGCACAGACCTGCATCATATTTCTGACTAATATCTAATATTTTTTTTTTTTTTTAACTGGAGTGTGATTTTAACTGGAATATCATTCTGTTGCATTTTAGCTTTTTAGCAAACATTCGCAAGAAAGAGGAAGGTTATACTCCTTTATTGCCTGAATATAAGTCCCAGTGGTGTAAAGATTATACTCAACACTATTACAGAATTATTGGATTAATTATTTTACAATTATGTCCAAGGTGTTGCAGGTAAATATAGACCCATCCCCTGATGTTGCCATTTTTGGGGTTCCAAAGATTTGGTCCAAATTTAATTACAAACAACTTGATGTTTTGGCCTTTACCTCACTAAGGGCCTACTCACACTATGCCATCCGTACCGTGCCCAGGCCCGTTTCCCGGATCGTTTGAGAAGTGTGAGTGCGCTGAATCGGGCTCAAGCACGGTTCACTTGGCCGGCCCTGGCCCGGTTGGAAGAGGTGTGCCTGAGCGCGGTACACTTGGGCTTTGGCGCGGTACGCTTGTGTGTGAGCGCGAAACGCGCCAAAGCCCGAAACCGAAAGCGAGACGTGACTTTTAAGGGACTGTTTGATATGGATTTATTAATCATTCTTACTGTTCAGTGATCGCAAACTGCCGTAGTTTATTAAAGACGCAAACTCCTCACAGCACGCCAGCTGCGCACCTTCAGCAGATCTCCTCATTCCTGCAGCACGAGAGCTTTGATTGTTTATGAGCGCTAAAAGTGGCGGATCTGTTCGGTAAAATATCTGACTGTGTGTCCCCGCATCCCTAAGGACTGTTTGGCGAAATATTTGACTGCATGTCACTGCATAACAAACGACTGAAAGGATATAACTAGAGAAATCTCCACTGTGCTGCTAAATGAGAGCGTATGGCAAGCCGTTTTAACATTTAAACCTTGTTCTGGCTATCCATAAATATATTTAGAGATATAATTATATATTTTGACAAGTCATTATTATAATTCGACTTGTCAGAATGACAATTAGAGATATCTGCAATTACAATTGTACTTGTACGAAATCAGATTGGAGATATCTGCAAATATATTATGACTAGTCATATTCCTCCATTGACTTCCATTGAAAAATATTTGCAGATATCTCTGAGTTTTGACTCGTCAAAAATCCAATTCAAGATATCTACAACTGTAATTCGACTATTAGTAAATTAATTAGAGATATCTTCAAATATATTTGTAAATATCTCTAAATATTACGAATTAAAGACATCTGTATGACTAGTAAAAACTCAGTTAGAGATATCTCTAATTACAATTGTGACGAGTCAAAACTCATTTAGAGATATCTGCAAATATTTTTGAATAATTGTTATTCTGACTAGTCGAATTATAATTATGACTAGTCAAAATATAATTAGAGATATCTCTAAATATATTTATGGAGTCAGAACAAAGATTTAAATGCTAAAAAGGCTTGCCATAGAGAGCGCTTCTGAACAGCGCAGCAGCGATGACGTAAGCGTGCCGTGGCCCGGTATGGTGTGAGCGCGGGCCGTCGGGGGAGACGGGAGGGGGGACAAGCGTGCTTTGGCCCGGTTCGAGGCAACTGTACCTAGTGTGAGTACGGCCTAATAGCCAGGCGTCGTATACTACTTCACTGGAAATCAAATAAGCCTCCAACTACATCCCAATGGCTTGTGGATACCATGCATTTTCTTAAGTTGGAAAAGGTTAGATGCTGTGGGAAAACTCATTTCTTTAAAAAGTGGCAATGTTTTATAACTTACTTTAACTCTCTTAAGGTATTGCCTTCTATTTAATAGATGCACTCTCCTGAGTTCCCTCCTTTTTTAATTTATTTCGTATTAATTAAACTTTTTTTGTTTTATCTAATACCATTTTATACCGTTTAATTGTAAATGTTTACTTTCAACATTGACAATGTATCTGAACATTTGATTGTAATTTTCTGTACACTTAATACTTATGTTTCTATTTTTCTTTTCCTCT